TTTATTTGTACTTTTTAAACAAATTGTTGAATAAAAATAGTGTATTCAATCACTTTGTTCAAAATTATAAAATATATAAAATTGTCCAACGTCAAAAGGTCTCTGCTGCAACTCGGTATACTTTAAAAATATTATCAAAAACTATGAATTTATAAAAACAGAATAGACGTCCATCCTAACCAACTAGCATTTATACTAAGAAGGCCAGCAGGCTTAAAAGAAAAATACCTGGAGACCTAATATAATTTAATTAACTATAATACTTTCATTTTACATAATTGCAGAATAATAATAATTTTTTTTTGTCAATCAAAACTTTATTAAAGTTTTATAATACAAAATTGTTGAGGTATATAAAAAACAAAAAATTAAACCTAAATACAAAAATATAAATGTAGATAATAAACAGAATATTAACAAAATAAAATTACAAAATATTGAAATAATAAACTTATAACAATATTAAAATTAGAAAAAAAATAATTAATCATCGAAATATTTTTATTAATATTTACTGTCATTTTCCGTATGGATTTTTCTTTTCCACCAGCCGTCGGTCTATTTGCCTTTTAAATAAGTTTTTCAAACGATTTCCTGATACCGTTAGAAAGTGTAACAAAAACGGTATATGTATATATTTTTATGAATATTATTACATTTATTACTCATGTTTGCTCGTAACGAGCAAATTACTCGTTGTAGGTATATCTGGAGTGAATATTTTATAATAACAACTAACATTTCCTTAATAATAATTTTCATAATTATATTAATATTATTATTAATTTAATTATTGTTAAGAAATGCACGCGCCGGTCAATAGTAACAAATAAATTTCATAATTATTACGGTTAATTATGATTTGCTTGTTAGTAGAGTTTAAATATTTAATTTTTCTAAGTCATTTAAATAAATGACTCTACTAAAACAATTGTTTGTTAGTAGTATCATTTTTTTTAGTCGAGACTCAGTTTACTCGTCAGTAGAGTCCTATTCTTATTTTAATTAATTTGTTTATTAGTGATATTCTCTTTTCCTTTGTCGGTAGTTTTTTTTTATTAATATGAGTTTTTGTTTGCTCGTTAGTAGAGTCCTCATTACTCTGTTTTTAATTTTTTTTCTCTTCTAAATTGAATTGCAAGCAAAATCATCTTGTTCTTGTATCGAAATTCAATTTTTTTTTATCGTTTTTATCCTTAAATTAATTTAGAGTAGAATCATCCTTTTTTTTTGTCGATATTCAGTTTGCTCGTCAGTAGAGTTTTTGTGAAATCTTTGACATTAAATTAATTTGCTCGTCAGTAGTGTTTTTTCGTCCACGTTTTCGGGCGCACGGATCAACCGATTTGAATGGTTTAAAAATATTCGATCCGTATTGATAGGAAGATGTGCTGATTAGTTTTTGGCAAAGGCAGGTCCAGCCGTTTCGGAGATACGGAGCAAAGAGTGCGGAAAATACAAATCGAGTTTTTGAGAGAACGGAGCATCCGATTTGAATGATTCAAAAAACATTCAATTTGTAATGATTGGGAGAAGAGGTGGTTAGTTTTTGGCAGAGACAGGTCCCGCCATTTCGAAGATACAGAGCTAAATGTGCAAAAAATGGCAGTTTTTGAGTGAACTAAGCGTCCGATTTGAATGATCTAAAAAACTTTCTGCTTGTATTGACAAAACAATCATTTTTGAGGATGAAAAATTATTACATCTTTTTTTATTTTCCATAAAATATTTTTGTAATTTTGGATTAAAAATTCAAACTAGTGGGGTGGGTGGCATCGTGCCTTAAGGCAAATTGCTGGAACTTCCCGTACCGTAACGTAATGTTCGAGGAATATTGAATGTTTTCAAATAGATTATTATAAATATTGTAACATTGTCTAATATTTATAAGAATTATATAAAACTGAATTGCAGAGATGAGTTGAAATTATTTGTTTAAAGTATATTAGAACTATAGTCAGAATTAAAAATAAAATCTGAATTATTTTCGATATACAAAAAATTAAAAAAAAAAAAAAAAAAAAAAAAAATTGTACAAATTTTTTTTTTCCAAAATCAATTATTTTGTTAAGACAAGCAGAAAGTTCTTTGAATCAATTGAATCGGACGCTTAGTTCTCTCAAAAACTGCCATTTTTTGTACATTTAGCTCTGTATCTCCGTAATGGGGGCCTGCCTTTGCGAAAAACTAATAACCCCTTCTCCCAATCATTACTAATTGAATGTTTTTTAGATCATTGAAATCGGATGCTCCGTTCTCTCAAAAACTCGATTTCTATTTTCTGCACTCTTTGCTCCTTATCTCCGTAACTGCTGAAACTGTCTTTGCCAAAAACTAATCAGCTCTTCTCCTTATTAATAGGAATCGAATGTTTTTTAAACCATTCAAATCGGTTGATCCGTACGCCCGAAAACGTGGGCGAAAATTTGTATCCATACATACATACACACTCACACACACACACACACACACACACACACACATCCATTTTTTCTGAGGTATGCCAAAACGTTCAGAAACCTTCAAAACGTCGAGAAATGTAAAAATTTTCAATTCCGATTTTCGGCCCATTACAATAACTTACCCTACGGGAAGTTAAAAATTACCCAGGCTAAGAACAGTCTAAGCGCCACTCTGGTACAAATGTTTACCCAAGTGCGTTTAGACTGTTTATGCACTGGAGAACTTTTCCAATTTTGTGAAAACTATTGAAAAATGTGAAAATGGCGCCAAGCTAAGTACAGTATAAGTGAAAATGTCGCACAGAATTGTTTGCAAATGCGTTTAGACTATGACTATACGGGAGCACTGTTTCAATTTTGTGTTAACTTTTTTTTTGAAATTGAATTCGAAATGAAATGACGATTGTTAATGTTCTGGAGATAAATTGATTTGCTCAGATATAACAATAAGATAGCAAAAATAATGAAACAATTACAGTTTTTGTAATGATATATTTGAAAACGTTCAAAATTTCTCGAATATTTCATTACGGTACGGGAAGTTCCAGCAATTTGCCTTAAGGCACGCTGGCTTTTTCTTTGCTCGTCTTTTATCATTTTCTTATTCTCGAGAATTTGGGTCCAAATTAATTTGCTCGTTATATTAGTAGTATTTTTTTTACTCGAGACTTAGTTTGTTCATCATTATAGTTTTTTATATTGAATAGAGTGAGTTCAGGTCCCTCCTGTTTTTGGCAACCTGACATCGGGCAGCAGCGATGTCCTTTTAGACTTAGAATTATAGATGGAAAATATGTTTCCTATTGGATTCTCATATTATTCTTCTCTGAATCGAGTTGGAATTTAACTCAGCTCACGGTTTTGCCCTAGAACATTACTACCCATTATTTACCATATTATATATATTATAACTATCTGTAAGTGAAATTCTGTCTTAAGGCAATTAAGGCATCGTGCCTTAAGGCAAATTGCTGGAACTTTCCGTACCGCAATTCAAAATTCGAGTAATTAAAAATAATCAATAATAATAATCAATAAAAGTTGATCAATGATTTGAAACTTTTAATAGATTTTCGAACCATATTAAATCATTCTATCTTAAATCATTTATTTTGAAATATTTTGGAATTCTGAACTTTTTTTCGAAGCAATCGTACTGCTTTAACTGCATAAAGACGAAATATCACCTGCCTTCGCCAAAAACTAATCAGCACGTCTCCTTATCAATACGAATCGAATGTTTTTGAATTATTTAAATCGGTTGATCCGTATTCCCGAAATCGTCGACGAAAATTTGTACCCGCACGTACATACACACACGCACACACCTACACACACACACACACATCCATTTTTTCCAAGGTATGACAAAATGTTCAGAAGGTTTTGAAACATAAAGATATATAAAAATTTTCATTTACGATTTTTTTGCGATTACTATGACTTGCCCTACGGGAATTTAATGAAGATTACTTTACATGTGTTAAATAATTTAAATATAATTTTGTTAAAAGCAAGTGATCGCAAATATAATTTTTTTTTGCAAAAAATAATGCACGGATCTGAAAGTAGTATAGAAAATTGCTCAGAGGATGAGGATATTTTGCAAAAAAAAGGATCATGTTGGATAGCACTTAGTGTTAATTATGACGAAAAAAATCATACAATTCAAGTAATGTATATTACATCTTAAACTAGCTGTAAGTGGAATTCTGTCTTGAGGCAATTATGGCATCGTGCCTTAAGGCAAATTGCTGGAACTTCCCGTACCGTGACGAAATGTTCGTGGAATACTGAATGTTTTCAAATAGATTATTATAAAAATTGTAAGATTGTCTAATATTTATAAGAATTATATAAAATGAATTGCAAAATTGAAATTATTTGTTCAAAGTATATTAGAACTATAGTCAGAATTAAAAATAAAATCTGAAATATTTTCGATATACAAAAAAAAAAAAAAAATGGAACAAATTTTTTTTTTCCAAAATCAATTATTTTGTTAAGACAAGCAGAAAGTTCTTTGAATCATTTAAATCGGACGCTTAGTTCTCTCAAAAATTGCCATTCTTTACATATTTAGCTCCGTATCTTCAAAATGGCTTGGCCTGCCTTTGCCAAAAACTAATAAACACTTCTTCCAATCATTACTAATTGAATGTTTTTTAGATCATTCAAATCGGATACTCCGTTCTCTCAAAAATTCGATTTCTATTTTCTGTACTCTTTGCTCCGTATCTCCGAAACGGCTGGACCTGCCTTTGCCAAAAACTAATCAGTTCTTTTCCCTATCAATAGGAATCGAATGTTTTTTGAACCATTCAAATCGGTTGATCCGTACGCCCGAAAACGTGGGCGAAAATTTGTATCCATACATACATACACACACACACACATACACACACACACACACACACATCCATTTTTTCAGAAACCTTAAAAACGTCGAGAAATGTAAAAATTTTCAATTTCGATTTTCGGCCCATTACAATAACTTACCCTACGGGAAGTTAAAAAACGAATAAATGTAACAAATATTTATTATAAAATCATGATATGTAGCATGTTATTTTTGAAATCTTGGAACGTAACCCCTCCTTTTGTACTAGTTTTTTGTTCCTTATAACACGGATTCGCATAACACGCTAGTTTTCTGGAACGTAACTACCGCGTTGTACGGGGGTTACCAGTATCTGTTATATTTAGCAATCCAATTTGTTTAAAAATGCATTAATTATCGTTATTATCATTATGCATTATATGCGTTTTGTCTGATGACTCTTACAATGAAAGAAACAAAGACAAAGACCACGTAGGCAGCAGATTGCAGTGGCGTAGGAGACCTTCTTCTTCGTCTCTTTGCTCTTGTAGGCTCTTAAGGCAATTCCTATCAGTGTATGGTTTAGCCCCTCTCTTTATTCAGTACCTGTTTATTACTCACACTTTTGCGACTTGAGATATGAGCATGGACTATGTGAACGCGGGAGGGATAGATATAGAAATATTTTAGATGAAAATGGACATATATATATATATATATACTAGCCGACCCAGCAAACGTTGTTCTTTCTTAAGATAAACATTTCAATGGATATCTACATATATATAAAAATAAGTCGGGTTTTCCTTCCTGACGAAATAACTCCAGAACGCACGAACCGATTTCGACAATTTTGCATTCGTTGGAAAGGTCTCGGGCTCCGCAAGGTTTATAGCTAAGAAAATTAGTGGTGCATGGCATCGTGCCCTAATGCAAAATTGCTGGAACTTCACGCACCGTAATTAAAAATTCGAGTAATGACATTAGTGAGAATTATCAGAATTATGCTTGGTTAAGTCAACGAGCATTTCTTGCCGCAAAGAAAATGATGTACACGCACTGAATTTCACCATTCAATCAAAAATTGCTGGCGATTTGGTGACATACCAATGATTCCGACTGGTCTTCCGTTTGACTTCAAACGATTGCAATTTCCAGTTCGCCTTGCGTTCGCAATAACAAGTCGCAAGGCCAATCGCTTAGTGTTTGCGGGATAAATTTCAAATAGATTATTTAGAAAATCATTGTTTTTCACATGGGCAGTTATACGTTGCCTGTTCACGAGATGGAAATCCGTCCGCTTTGTTTGTGTTAACGTCAGACCAAAAAACAAAAAATGTGGTTTACCAAAGAGCACTTCAATGAAACGGATAATTTGCGGATTCACTTTCATTTACTTAGAGAAGTTCAACTAAAAAACACTTCATTTTTGTAATCGAAATAAATTCATTACTGTTGTGTAATAAAATCAAATTTTTTCTTTTCAAATATAAAACAAACAAAAAATTTCTTCGTGGCGAAACGGAGTTCGTCGGGTTTGCTAATTATGTATAAATATCTATATTTATTTATTATTATAAATATGATAAGAAGTTGTAGAAATTATAAATATGATAAAAGCAATTTATATAATATTGTGTATATAAATGTATAATGAGTGTGACTAATAAATACTATTTACCCCATTTTATTATGTAAATTAAAACATGTTTGCTGATATAGATAAAAAGATAAATAAATTATTATTAAATTGTACAAGAATGATTCATATTATAACAGGTGGATTTTCTGTAATTAAAAAAAAAAATGATTTTTATATTATAAGTTAGCAATAATAATTAAAAATAATCAAATGACTTGAAATCCTAATTATTATATATTATATTAATAATAATTTAATTTAATATTATTTGTAGTTTTAAAATAGCATATATATTTGAAAAAAATATTTATTAACAAATCAATTAACTTCTCATAGGGTAAGGTATTGTAATCGACCAAAAATCGAAATTGAAAATTTTTGCATTTCTTCACGTTTTAGAGGTTTCTGAACATTTTGCCATACCTCACAAAAAATAGATATGTTTGTGTAAGGATACAAGTTTTGTCGACGTTTTCGGGCGCACGGATCAACCGATTTGAATGGTTTAAAAAACGTTCGATTCCTATTAATAGGAAGATGTGCTGATTAGTTTTTGGCAAAGACAGATCCAGCCGTTACGGAGATAAAGTGCAAAGAGTGCAGGAAATACAAATCGAGTTTTTGAGAGAACTGATCATCCGATTTGTATGATCCAAAAAACATTCAGTTCGTAATGATTGGGAGAAGTGTTTATTAGTTTTTGACAAAGGCAGGCCCAGCCATTTCGAAGATACGACCTAAATGTGCAAAAAATGGCAGTTTTTGAGAGAACTAAGCGTCCGATTTGAATGATTCTGCTTGTTTTAACAAAATAATTGCTTTTGGAAAAACAAATTTTTTTGTTTCAACTTTTTTTCAATTTTTTTTTTCAAAAAAATTTTTTTTTGTATACCGAAAATAATTCAGATTTTATTTTTAATTTTGACTTAAGTTCTAATATACTTTGAAAAAATAATTTCAACTTTGTGATTTAGTTTATATAATTCTTATAAATATTAGACAATGTTACAATATTAATAATAATCTATTTGAAAACATTCAGTATTCCTCGAACATTTTGTTACGGTACGGGAAGTTCCAGCAATTTGCCTTAAGGCACGATGCCATACACCCAACTAGTGATAATATATATTTATCTTGCCACTGAATGAAGGCTAAGATGCTAGCCGAAACGTATGGATTTTAAATAAATTTCTAAAAACTCTCATACTATTTTTTATTGATGTAATACTCGACTTTTAAACTTAAATTAAATGTATTATATCAACATCAAAATCAAATCTATTCAAATATATATATATAATATATATATAATGTATATATATATATATATATATATATATATATATATATATATATATATATATATATATATGTTATATTATATTTGCTTATCTATGTTAATATACTGTACAAGTGCTGCCTTCTTCAGATCGCTGTATAAACTAAAATGAGGTAACTTCAAATGGCATGAAATAAGGGCGATCTATTTATTTTTATGTATCTATGCTCATCGTTCAAATGTCAAACAAATTAATGTACTGAAAGAACATTTTATATTCAACTTATTTAATTAATAATTAAATGTCATGATAAATATATTAAATATAAATTGTAGTATAAATATAACATTGTACATTATAAAGACGTATTTGTGATTCATTGGTAAACATAAAGGTAGTGTAAAATACTTTGAGGTTATATTTATTTTATTTAGAAAGAACTATAAATATTTAACTTAAAATAATGCAAAATTATTGCTTAATTTCACCTTTTACATTTCAGATTTGCAATAAGGCAAGAGCTTTGAACAATAGTTGATTCATAAAGTATTTTAAAGAAGGAATTATCTTGGCGACATTATTCAAAATACACTTGTGTTAAATTAATGTAAGATTATATTCATAGACAAAACCATAATATGAATATATTATATTCTCAGAACCATTTGTGTTGACAGTTTAGAATGAATATTAATTTAAACATACATTTCTGTAAAATATTACAAGAGCATAAATGCAACTGTCAACAGCTAATGTTTTAATTATTATTTCCAGTGAAATTAATTATCATATTTAACAATAGTTTATTTAAACTAACCAACTATTTTTGTTAATGCTTATAGAACATACTCAGTGCACAAATATCTCAAAATGTCTGAAGCTGCTAATGATCCGATAATTAAAATTGAACCCCAAGAATATCCAATCGAAGACATTAAACAGGAAATTGAGGAAGATTATGAATCGTGTTCAGAGGATGACAAAACATGTCTAAAGAGATTTATGAACTCTATAGTAAAAATAGAAGAAGAAGTCCAACAAGAATTAATTCAGACTGCTCCTTATAAATGTGACAAGTGTAAGGGATCATTTACAGAGTTGCATTATTTAGAATACCATATAGCGAATTATTGTCATAAGTACAAGACTTCTTCAGATGCAAATGCATTAGAAATGCATACAAAATCTCATACAGGTGAAAAACATTTCACATGTACAAAGTGTGATAAAGCATTTACTGAACAATATCATTTACATCAACACATTTGTGCTCCTGCAAGAGAACAAATTTCGCATTTGAATGAATCTGGTAATCAAAAACAAAATATTCCAAAGAGGTCAGGTAAACGTACTCATGTTTGCCAAATTTGTGACAAGAAATATACAAAACCGTATAGGTTGAGAAAACATATGCTCATTCACACCGGTGAATGTCCACATGTTTGCCAAATATGTGATCGAACATTCAGTCGTTTGGCTACCTTGAATCAGCATCAGCTTATTCACACTGGTGAACGTCCCCACATTTGCCAAATTTGTGACAAGGCATTCACACTAATAGGTACCTTGAATAGACATATGCTCACTCACACTAGTGAACGTCCCTATAGTTGTCAAATTTGTGATAAGACATTCACACAATTGGGTACCTTGAATAAACATATGCTGATTCACACTGGTAAACGTCCCCACGTTTGCCAAATTTGTGATAAAACATTCACCCAATCGTGTAGCTTGAAAAAACATATGCTCATTCACATTGAAGAGCGCTTCTTCAAATGCAAAATCTGCGATAAGGTATTCAAACAATCAAATTCTCTGAAAAAGCACATGGTTGCTCATACCAATGAGTAATTAGTATTTACAAAATTAGTTAAAAGGTTACATATGAATGCTTATAGAAATTAATGATAATTAGATATATGAATCAATATATATATATATATATATATATATATATATATATATACATATTGTCAAATAAATAAACATGGTTATCAATGACTTGTGCAAATATTTTGTTAATAATATCCTATATCCATCCCAGATTTAATAAGGCTTGCAATTGTGCCATAATTAACTTCCCTTAGGGTAGTTATAATTTTTTTATTTATTTTATTTTATTTTCATTCTGCAATCTATAAAAATAATTATATTTAGCAGAAAATGCTAACAAGTTGTTTACAATTGATTGTTTACAAATTAGTACGCCCAGTACTATTATACTTAATATAAAAAAAAAAACTAAAGACAAATATGGAGAAAAAAATATATAAAATAAACTAAATTAGATCTCGTGGTATTTTCCTTTTAGGCCTGGTCGGCTGACCTTCTTGGTATAAGTTGCATGCTAGTTGGTTAGCATCAATTCTATTCTTATAATTATAAATTGTTTTGTGCTCGTTGTATTATGTTTAAATTGCTCTTTTTAGCAGTACCCCAAAGTTGTAATCCGTAGGTCCACACGGGTTTGATCACAGCCTTATATATAAGTAATTTGTTGTAAGTTGATAATTCTGATTTTCTGTTGTTATAATAATGAGCCGAAAATCAAAAATGAAAATTTTTGCATTTCTCGACGTTTTGAAGATTTCTGAACATTTTGGCATACCTCAGAAACTAAATGGACGTGTATGTGCGTTTTGTATGTCCGCATTTTTAATCAAATCAAAAATTTAATCTGTAATGAAGAATCGTAATTCTTCATTACGGCAATCAAAGTAACATGTTTTTTGAATCATTCGAATCGGTTGAGCTGTGCCTCCGAAAACGTCGACGAAAAATTGTATCCACACATACATACATACACACATCCATTTTTTCTAAGGTATGCCAGAATGTTTAGAAGCCTTTGAAACGTAAATTTGTGTAAAAAATAACGGGTGGATTTTCTGTAATTAAAAAAATATGATTTTTATATTATAAGTTAGCAATAATAATTAAATAATCAAATGACTTGAAATCATAATTATTTTATATTATATTAATAATAATTTAATTTAATATTATTTGTAATTTTAAAATAGCATATATATTTGAAAAAAATATTTATTAACAAATCAATTATTAACTTCTCATAGGGTAAGGTATTGTAAAAAATCGAAAATGAAATTGAACATTTTTGCATTTCTTCACGTTTTAGAGGTTTCTGAACATTTTGCCATACCTCACAAAAAATAGATGTGTTTGTGTAAGGATACAAGTTTTGTCGACGTTTTCGGGCGCACGGATCAACCGATTTGAATAGTTTAAAAAACATTCGATTCCTATTAATAGGGAGATGTGCTGATTAGTTTTTGGCAAAAGCAGGTCCAGCCGTTACGGAGATAAAGTGCAAAGAGTGCAGAAAATACAAATCGAGTTTTTGAGAGAACGGATCATCCGATTTGTATGATCCAAAAAACATTCAATTAGTAATAATTGGAAAAAGTGTTTATTAGTTCTTGGCAACGGCAGGCCCAGCCATTTAGAAGATACGGACCTAAATGTACAAAAAATGGCAGTTTTTGAGAGAACTCCAATTTAAATGATTCAAAGAACTTTCTTCTTGTTCAAACAAAATAATTGGTTTTGAAAAAAACAAAATTTTTTGTTTCAACTTTTTTTCAATTTTTTTTTTCAAAAAAATTTTTTTTTGTATATCGAAAATAATTCAGATTTTATTTTTAATTCTGACTATAGTTCTGATATACTTTAAACAAATAATTTCAACTCTGCAATTCAGTTTATATAAATCTTATAAATATTAGACAATGTTACAATATTAATAATAATCTATTTGAAAACATTCAGTATTCCTCGAACATTTTGTTACGGTACGGGAAGTTCCAGCAATTTGCCTTAAGGCACGATGCCATACACCCCACTAGTTATAATATATATTTATCTTGCCACTGAATGAAGGGTAAGATGCTTGCCGAAACGTATGGATTTTGAATAAATTTCTAAAAACCCTCATACTATTTTTTATTGATGTAATACCCGACTTTTAAACTTAAATTAAATGTATTATATTAACATCAAATTCAAATTTATTCAAATATATATTAAAATATTTATATATATATATATATATATATATATAATACAAACATTTAGGTATTATTTTTATGTATTTTTTTTTGAAAGTAGTTCACATTTTTGTTGATTTGTTTATTAAATTGTTATATTTAATTTTTTTTTCTTTTATTTTATTTGGCCTCTTATTTACAAACTAGCCATATACAAAGTTTCCTACATTTACATTCTAATGTTACATTTAACCAAAAAATTATATATAATACCAGCTGGAATAATACCAGCAATTAATTTATATATCATAAATAAGTAAACAAATTATATACCTTATATATATATATATATATATATATATATATATATATATGTGCTTATTTATTGTATTAATCTATGTTATATTATAGTTACTTATCTATGTTAATATACTGTACAAGTGCTGCCTTCTTCAGATCGCTGTATAAATTAAAATTGAGGTAACGTCAAATGGCATGAGATAAGGGCGATCTATTTATTTTTATGTATCTATGCTCATCGTTCAAATGTCAAACAAATTAATGTACTGAAAGAACATTTTATATTCAACTTATTAAATTATTAATTAAATGTCATGATAAATATATTAAATATAAATTGTAGTATAAATATAACATTGTACATTATAAAGACGTATTTGTGATTCATTGGTAAACATAAAGGTAGTGTAAAATACTTTGAGGTTATATTTATTTTATTTAGAAAAAACAATAAATATTTAACTTAAAATAATGCAAAAGTATTGCTTAATTTCACTTTTTACATTTCAGATTTGCAATAAGGCAAGAGTTTTGAACAATAGTTGATTCATAAAGTATTTTAAAGAAGGAATTATCTTGGCGACATACATCATTCAAAATACACTTGTGTTAAATTAATGTAAGATTATACTCATAGACCAAACCATAATATGAATATATTATATTCTCAGAACCATTTGTGTTGACAGTTTAGAATGAATATTAATTTAAACATACATTCCTGTAAAATATTACAAGAGCATAAATGCAACTGTCAACAGCTAATGTTTTAATTAATATTTCCAGTGAAATTAATTATCATATTTAACAATAGTTCATTTAAACTAACCAACTATTTTTGTTAATGCTTATAGAACATACTCAGTGCACAAATATCTCAAAATGTCTGAAGCTGCTAATGATCCGATAATTAAAATTGAACCGCAAGAATATCCAATCGAAGACATTAAACAAGAAATTGAGGAAGATTATGAATCGTGTTCAGAGGATGACAAAACATGTCTAAAGAGATTTATGAACTCTATAGTAAAAATAGAAGAAGAAGTCCAACAAGAATTAATTCAGACTGCTCCTTATAAATGTGACAAGTGTAATGGATCATTTACAGAGTTGCATTATTTAGAATACCATATAGCGAATTATTGTCATAAGTACAAGACTTTTCCAGATGCAAATGCATTAGAAATACATATAAAATCTCATACAGGTGAAAAACATTTCACATGTACAAAGTGTGTCAAAGCATTTACTGAACAATATCATTTAGATCAACACATTTGTGCTCCTGCAAGAGAACAAATTTCACATTTGAATGAATCTGGTAATCCAAAACGAAATATTGCAAAGAGGTCAGGTGAACGTACTCATATTTGCCAAATTTGTGACAAGAAATTTACAAAATCGAGTAGCTTGAGAAAACATATGCTCATTCACACTGGTGAATGCCCACATGTTTGCAAAATATGTGATCAGGCATTCAATCGTTTGGCTGACTTGAATCAACATCTGCTTATTCACACTGGTGAACGTCCACATGTTTGCCAAATTTGTGATAAGACATTCAGACAAATAGGTACCTTGAATAGACATATGCTCATCCACACTAATGAACGTCCCCATAGTTGTCAAATTTGTGATATGAGATTCACACAATCGTCTTACTTGAATCAACATATGCTTATTCACACGGGTGAACGTCCCCACATTTGCCAAATTTGTGATAAGACATTCACGCAAATGGGTACCTTGAATAAACATATGCTCACTCACACTAGTGAACGTCCCTATAGTTGTCAAATTTGTGATAAGACATTCACACAATTGGGTACCTTGAATAAACATATGCTGATTCACACTGGTAAACGTCCCCACGTTTGCCAAATTTGTGATAAAACATTCACCCAATCGTGTAGCTTGAAAAAACATATGCTCATTCACATTGAAGAGCGCTTCTTCAAATGCAAAATCTGTGATAAGGTATTCAAACAATCAAATTCTCTGAAAAAGCACATGGTTGCTCATACCAATGAGTAATTAGTATTTACAAAATTAGTTAAAAGGTTACATATGAATGCTTATAGAAATTAAGGATAATTAGATATATGAATTAATTTTATATATATATATATATATATATATATATATATATATGCATATTGTCAAATAAATAAACATGGTTATCAATGACTTGTGTAAATATTTTGTTAATAATATTCTATATCCATACTAGGTTTAATAATGCTTGCAATTGAGCCATAATTGTTAGTAGAATCTTCTCAAAAAGGTTACGTCCTTTGGGGTTATTGTAATCATCCAAAAATCTAAATTGAAAATTTTTGCATATCTTGGCCACAAGAAACAGAATTTTCACATTTTTCAATAGTTTTCACAAAATTGGAAAAGTGCTCCAATACATAAACAGTCTAAACGCACTTGGGTAAACATTTGTACCAGAGTGGCGCTTAGACTGTGCTAAACCTGGGTAATTTTTTGAATTTTTAATCCAAAATTACAAAAATATTTTTTGGAAAAAAAAAATTAGAAACAAAATTTTTTTCCAAAAGCAATTATTTTGTTGAAACAAGCAGAAAGTTCTTTGAATCATTTAAATCGGACGCTTAATTCTCTCAAAAACTGCCATTTTTTTTAACATTTAGCTCTGTATCTCCGAAACCCTTGGATGCTCCGTTCTCTCAAAAACTCGATTTCTATTATCTGCACTCTTTGCGCTTTATCTCCGTAACTGTTGGACCTGCCTTTGCCAAAAACTAATCGGCACATCTCCTTATCGATAGGAATCGAATGTTTTTTGAACCATTCAAATCGGTTGATCCGTGCGCCCGAAAACGTCGACGAAAAAATGCGGACACACAAAACACACACACACATCCATTTAGTTTCTGAGGTATGCCCTTTAAAAATGTTCAGAAACCTTCAAAACGTCGAGAAATGCAAAAATTTTCATTTTCGATTTTCGGCCCATTACTATAACTACCCTACGGGAAGTTAAAAATACAAAATCTTTCAAAAAAAAATCAAGTTTTCACTAAAATATCAGCATTTTCAAGAAAGCATTTTTTCAATAAGCAAATTTAAAAAAAAAAATCAAAAATGTTCAAAAAATGTTTTTTTACTGAGCTCTTAAAGATTTTAAATTACGATACGTAAAATTCCAGCAATTTGCCTTATGGCATAAGCCATGCACCACTAGTTATTTATTTTATTTAAATTAATTATTTTATTCTATATTAAAAAACAGTGTGGTTGAACTTTAAATTTTATATTATTAACTTACCGTAGGGTAAGTTATTGTAATCGTCCTAAAATCGAAAATGAAAATTTTTGCATTTCTCGACGTTTTGAAGGTTTCTGAACATTTTTAAAGGGCATACCTCAGAAATCAAAAATTATTATCAGAAAGAAGTGTCCGCATTTTTTCGTCCACGTTTTCGGGCGCACGGATCAACCAATTTGAATGGTTCAAAAAACATTCGATTCCTATTGATAGGGAGATGTGCTGATTAGTTTTTGGCAAAGGCAGGTCCAGCCATTACGAAGATATGTAGCAAAGAGTGCAGAAAATAGATATCGAGTTTTTGAGAGAACGGAGTATCGGATTCGAATGATCTGAAAAACATTCAATTTGTAATTATTGGGAGAAGAGGTGATTAGTTTTTGGCAAAGACAGGCCCAGCGGGTTCGGAGATACAGAGCTAAATGTACAAAAAATGGCAGTTTTTGAGAGAACTAACTAACCGATTTGAATGATTCTAAAAACTTTCTGCTTGTTTCAACAAAATAATTGCTTTTGTAAAAAAAATGTTTGATTCTAATTTTTTTTTTTCAAAATATATTTTTGTAATTTTGAATAAAAAATTCAAAAAATGACCCAGGCTAAGCACAGTCTAAGCGTCACTCTGGTACAATTGTTTTCGCAAGTGCGTTTAGACTGTTTATGTATTGGAGCACTTTTCCAATTTTGTGAGAAAACTATTAAAAAATGTGAAAGTGCCGCCAAGCTAAGCACAGTATAAATGAAAATGTCGCACAGAATTATTTGCAAATGCGTTTAGACTGTGACTATACGGGAGCACTTTTTCATTTTTGTGTAAATTAGGCAACTATTTTTAACTTCCCGTAGGGTAAGTTATTGTAATGGGCCGAAAATCGGAATTGATAATTTTTACATTTCTCGACGTTTTGAAGGTTTCTGAACGTTTTGGCATACCTCAGAAAAAATGGATGTGTGTGTGTGTGTGTGTGTGTGTGTGTGTGTGTATGTATGTATGGATACAAATTTTCGTCCACGTTTTCGGGCGTACGGATCAACCGATTTGAATGGTTTAAAAAACATTCGATTCCTATTAATAAGGAGAAGAGCTGATTAGTTTTTGGCAAAGACAGGTCCAGCAGTTACGGAGATAAGGAGCAAAGAGTGCAGAAAATAGAAATCGAGTTTTTGATAGAACGGAGCATCCGATTTGAATGATCTAAAAAACCTTCCATTAGTAATGATTGGGAGAAAGGGTTATTAGTTTTTCGCAAAGGCAGGCCCAGCCATTTCGGAGATACAGAGCTAAATGTACAAAAAATGGCAGTTTTTGAGAGAACTAAGCGTCCGATTCAATTGATTCAAAGAACTTTCTGCTTGTCTCAACAAAATAATTAATTTTGGAAAAAAAAATTTTGTACCATTTTTTTTTTTTTTTTTTTTTTTTTTTTTTTTTTTTTTTTTTTTTAATTTTTTTGTATATCGAAAATAATTCAGATTTTATTTTTAATTCTGACTATAGTTCTAATATACTTTAAACAAATAATTTCAACTCTGCAATTCAGTTTATATAATTATTATAAATATTAGACATTAATACAATATTTATAATAATCTATTTGAAAACATTCAATATTCCTCGAACGTTTCGTTACGGTACGGGAAGTTCCAGCAATTTGCCTTAAGGCACGATGCCACCCACCCCACTAGTTTGAATTGAAATTGAATTCGAAATGAAATGACGATTGTTAATAGATGATAGTAGATAAAGTGATTTATTTAGGATTTACATTTGATTTGCACAGATATAACAAGATAGCAAATATAATGAAAGTTACAGTATTTGTAATAATATATTTGAAAACGTTTAAAATTTCTCGAATATTTCATTACGGCACGGGAAGTTCCAGCAATTTGCCTTAAGGCACGATACCATACACCACTAGTTCATTTTTCAAATTTCAAATATTTCCCACAAATCCATCCACACCAACTTCACATAATCCAAGCCCAATCTACAATCACTTCACTACAATATGCACCATCTCTTTCCCACCCACACAAACCTATATCTTCCATCCTTTATTGTTTTGATCGGGTACTTTTCTCTCTCGAACAGTTCAATCAGTTACGTTCGTGCCGTCGTCGTGGGAAGGTAGGCGAAAATAATCGCTAGTTTATTTAATAAATTTTAATAGTTTAAAAGGAATTTTAAACAATGATTTAGTGCAAAATGTAAAATATAAGTGTCGATAATTGATTGTGTGATAATAGTTGATTGTGCTAAGGATATTAAAGGTATTTATAATGTAAATTATAGATGGATTTGATTACGGTTGTAAAATGGTTGATTATTATGAAGTCGTTGTAATTAGAAGGGATTTGTGTTTGATTTTATAATTTTTATAGTAAAAGTATACTTACAAATGTCGTACGTACGTAATGTCGTGTTTAAAATACAACGTTGAAGTTATTATTTAGTTTTGCGTAAAAATTTACGACAAAATTTTTTGGAGTTTTATAGGTTATATTTTTACTTAATAATTAATATTTTATGATTGCCAAAATTTTATGTTTTCTTAGTTTGTTAAACAAAATGGCGCTTGATGACAAAATTGTAAAGAACTAGTTGTAAGTGGTATTTTGCCTTAAGGCAAGTAGCTTGAACTTTCCGATATGTATACATAATAAAATTGACCAATCAGAATTGAGATTAAGATATTTGGGTAAAATTTTTAGGAAAATAAAATTTTTGCTTTAATGAAAAAAAATTATTTTCCTAAAAAATGTTGCTTTCATTTAAAAAAACGTCACTTTGAAGTTAAAGATTCTATTGTAATCTGATGGTTAAAACTAACATTAAACAATAAAACATAAAAATTAATGAAAAAATAAAAAACACTCGATGTCTTTCATATATACTTATAATATCTGCAATTGTATAAATTAATTTGTTTAGCGCATTTTATTTTGTCAACTGTAATCAGTAGCTCCCACGTACATTTTGCTCGACAATGAATTTGATTAGAATCTCTCAAGCGCGCGGCGAAATTCTAATTTGATATTTTTTTATAATTCAACCGCTTATCATAGGCCTCTAATATTTTAGTATGTTATTTAAGATTGCAAAATCTATCGTCAAAATATTTTTTTCAATTAGAAAGGGCTCGGCAGATCTTTACCAAAAACTAATCAGTTTGAGTCCCAAATAATATTTTTCAAACGGTTTTTAAATCGGTTCAAAATTGTGAGCTAAAACGTGGACGATTTACACTTTTTTGCTAATTACAAAGAAACGGCTAGGCCGATCGTCGCACAAAATTGATAATCATTAGTTCTCATCGAGATACATCGAATGGCTTTTAAATTTTTAAAATCGGTTCAGCCGTTCTTGATAAAACGTCGACGAAAGGTCAAAAAGCATATTATTTTCAAAGTTGGTGCCATCCGATTCAGAACGACTTGAAACGTCGAGAAAATATGAAATTAGCAAATCGCTTTTTTTTGCAAAAACTAACTTTTTCGGGAAGTTAGAATATAATAAATAGCATTGAAACTTTTTGATAGAAAATACAAAAACAAAATTATAATTATCTAAATTTATTTTTTGTTATTGAAGTAATTTTGTTCAATTTTAACACTTTTATTATTATTTTACTAAATTCGTAATGGTGAAAGAGTAAAATAAATATTTTATAATTTTTTAAATTTAATGAGGTTTTAGTTTAATAAATAAAATGTAATTCCAAAAAATGTTAGAAGAAAATATATAAATAATATAATTATTTTATAAACTTATTTTTATAAAATTATTTCATTACTTTCTAAGCTCATTTTTTTTGTTATTTAATAAATTTTGTTTAATACTTTTATGAAAGTTTATCAGTCTATTATATAATTTCTTGAAAATAAATTTTTAAATATTATATAATATTATTTTATATTTATTTTCATTAAATTTTACTAAATGAAATTTCAATTGAAAATCAAGTCTTTTGCTAAATAAAAGATAGAAAAAATCATTTTTAAATTATTCTAAAATTTGCATTATTATCTATTATTTGCATTATTGTTATATAATATTTTAATTAATTTATATATTGTAATTTGTTGTCAATTTTGAAAACAAAACCTATATTTATTTACAACAAAATTAATAAAATAATACTTTGCAAATTAAAATTGAATAACATACATAACATTTATATATAATATATTATGAATTTAGCACGATTTATATATAAATTTTAATTTGCGAATATTGTAATTGTAATAAAACAATACCCATTTTATACTCAACTAATTAAAAAAAAATCAATTACAAAATTAATAAGAATAAATTAAATATGCTTAATTTTGGTACATATTTATGTAGCTCAATTAGTCTATAAATGTTAATTTGTTAATAAATTTAACGAATATATATTTACAATATTCAAATTAAACAAATTACATAAATTAAACAACAATATTGACGAAATAAAATTTGCAACGATTAAAATAAAAAAATGGATAATATACTTGTCGACAAACCAAAAAAAAATTAATAAAAAATAATAAAAACTTTGATTATAAAATTTAGGTATGTAAAATTTTGTTTTTATTTAGCTAACAAACAAAATTATAATAATAATTAAAATTTGAGCTATAGAATTTAAGTATATAAAAGATTGTTTTTATGTATTTATTATTTCAACCTTTTTAATTTGTTTTTATATTTTAACTATATTTACATATATCTAAATTAATAAAATACAATTTTAATTTATTTAAATTTTTGAACTATAAAAAATTTAATAAACAAACCATTTTATTTGCCATTAATTTCAAAAACTATCCAAATTTACTTTTCATCATATTAAATTTAAAAAAAATCTAAATAATTATCATAAAATCATGCAACTAATCTTTTAAATTAAACCAAAATTATATATTATATATATAAATATAAAAATTATATATTATTATATATAATTTAACAAAAATTATATATTAATTATTTAATTTACAGATTTTATTACATTTTTGGCCAAAAAACAATTAGAATCGTAACTTTTTCTAAAAAAAAGTGCTTCCTGAAAAATTATGTAGTGCGTTTTTTATCAAGGATTTCTTTTACTGGCGGAAAAACGTAAGTTTTTATTTATTTATTATTATTAACATTAACATTAAAACAGCACGATTGATTGTTGTTATATAATTTGTTTATAAACATTTGTATAATAAAATAAAATATAATTTGTAACGAAAGTACAATTTATAACGAAATTGTGGTAATAGTTTGCCGAAAAAATTTATTTTGTTCTGCAAATATTTCTTTGTTGTTCGAAAAGATTTATTTATATTTCTTATAATATATAGGAATTTTTAAACATTTATTTGTACATCTATTGTTAAATGATAAAACATTTTTTTATAAATACTAATAAGATACATATATTTATAAGATATAAATATTTTTACTTATACAATTTTTAAATTAAATAATGAGAAAAAACAAAAATCATATCGGAACATTTTTCTTTTAAAGGTGAATTGACCTTTGTAGATGATGTAAATTATTTTTTGCCAAATTTTGTACATTTAATGTTAGAGAATAGTATATTTTTTATAAATAATTATTTGAGATAAATTTAAAAATTTAAAAAATTTTAAAAATTTGGATAAATAATGATGAAAGGCCAGAAAAACTAATTAATAATTTCAGAGCATTTTTTCTTTAAAAGACAATTTGACTTCTATAGGGTCTATTATTATTAGAATTATTTTTTGCCAAATTGTTAATTTTTTGTTCAATTAAATTTATAATTATATAACTTTTAATTACCAAAATAATTAGTCAATGAAAGTAAATTTAATATTCGATTTGAATTTTTGAGATAAAAGAAGTTGCAATGATTCTGATAATTTTTTCGGTAAAATCTTAGCATTATTACAATGTCGTCGACTTTAAGTACTTTTTAACATAGATATTACAATTTATTAGTAATATATCTTACATAATCACAATATTCAATGTCTAGGAATATTTCTAGAATTTTATTATCATTTTACCGTTATTTTCATAGAATTCCATATTTAATCGATCCTAAAAACACAAAAACTTATTGCGAATTTAATACGAATTTTATACCTGAATGAAATTCCTTATAAGGATTTCTATAGAAATGATATTTGTATCAATTTGGTATTTGAGACAGGGCTTGACAACCCTTTTATTGAATAAAATATATTATATTTTTAATATAATGTAATAAGTTATAATGATATTTTATTTTAATGCAACGTAAATGGTTTTTACTAACAAAAGTTTTATATAAAATGAAATTTTGATGTTCCTACATCAAATAGTAAATAATTATAAAAAAAATGTTTTGTGGTAAAAATACTTGTATTATTAACTTATTGGAATTGTACTTAATTTATTAGAGTATTTTTGTTTTTTTTTTTTGCAAAATTTTTTGTTTTCTAACAAAGTTTAGCGTCTGAACCTATATCAAAAATCTATGGGTCAAATGACTCTAGGAAGACTAGTATTTTCAAAGAGCTCTACAGGACATACCGCTTGTACTACAAACTTGCAATTTAGATATTTTATTCTTCGAAGTGCCTATTATGACATCAAATACTAAATTTGATACGTTTTCGAACAATATTTTTAATTAAAAAATATTTTGTCTATTTTTGTAATTTGTGGGCGAGATGACTCTCCAATGACTAGTATTTTCAATGAGCTCTACAGGACGTACCGTTTGTACTACATCCTTGTAATTTGGATATAATATTCTCTAAAGTGTCTTTTATGACTAAAAATACTAAAATTGATAGGTTTTTTAGCAATATTTTTGTTGAAAAAAGATTTTATCTATACTTGTAATTTATGGGAGAAATTACTTTCGGAAGATCAGTATTTACAAAGAGCTCTTCAGGACGTACTGTTTGTACTACAACCTTGTAGTTAAAATATGACATTCTTCAAAGTGTCTTTTATGATAGCAAATACTAAAAGTGATAAGTCTTCTAATAATATTTTGATTTAAAAAATATTTTATTCGCGCATGTAATGTGTGGGAGAAATGACTCTCCGACGCTTAGTATTTTCAAAGAGCTCTCCAGGACGTACCGTTTGTACTACAACCTTGTAATTCAGATATTTTATTTTTTAAAGTGTCTATTATGACAACAAATACTAAAATCGATAAGTTTTTTAATAATATTTTGAATTAAAAAATATTTTGTCTATAAATGTCATAAGTAATGTGCGGGAGAAACAACTTAGGACATTTTGTATTTTCAAA